GAGAGTGTAGGTTTACCCAATGCACCTATACGGTTGGCTGCGGGTTCCTTCATTACCAAAAAGAAATATTAAGAAATAAATTACATATTTCAACTTTATATTAAAACTAAATTTCGAAAAACAAACAATCCAAAATCTCCCGCAGAAGGACTTCGGGTTTAGGTCAAGTTTATGTTATTTATTTGTATCTCTACGGCCTCCACTCTCATCTCCTAGTACAAATAGGATTCAAGTCAGTAGTAACTGGTGAACGTACCGTCAAAAGGGTCAACGTCAGATGTGTATGACGACATTTGAAACACATTTGCCAGTGAGTCACAGAGCAGTACAAAAGAAGGAGACATAAAAAATATGGAGAAAGAGAATATTTAGAGATGAAAATAGTATCTATACGAGTGGACATGATTACACAACCTTGATCTAACGGACGAGATCGGTTACAAATCATTTCACTAACTTGGAGTAAATAAGCTTCACTGGTCTATCAATTCATTTAGACCACAAAAACATAACACATTATTTATTTTGTGATCCTTAATTAAATCATGCTAGTAATTGATGTTAGAGTATGATTAAAATCTAATCTGATTCTTTCATTATATATAATTAATTAAACATAATTTTCCTATCAAAAGAGACATTCATAAACATATATATTGTCCCAACTCCCCAAGCACAAGACATGCTAAAGAACCATTGAACTATGATGCAATTTTCAAAGGGAATTCAAATCCTAATTTGTTTGGAATCTTATAAGGAATATTACTAATAAGTAATAAGTTATACATTCCAACAAATTATAATATTTCTGCACAAGATTGTGTGTCTGTAAATCACATGACAGTAATCACCGCAATTATAGCAGACAATCATGATTTTTGTTGATTCTTCATAATTTTTTAGGTAATTTACAACTAATCCTATGAGGTTTGCTATAATAACTTTAAGGTCCTTGTAATATCGAAATTACAATTACCCCTGAAACTAATGGAATGTTAGAAATCCTAACGTCAGTGGTGGTTGTAATTACGAAAACTGAAAGGACCTTAAAGTTATTAGGGAAAAATACAGTTTTCATTCCTCAAATTTGCACCAATTTCACATTTGGTCCCTCATGCTCACATAAAACACATTTGATCCATCATGTTTAAAAAAATCAACATTTTTAGTCCCTTTTGTCAATTTTCTGTTAAAACTAACAGAATCAAGCGTGGACCCATCACCTACTTAGCTGACAGACTAATGGTAAATTGAGGGAAATGATAAAAAATGTTAGATTATTGAAACATGAAGGACCAAATGTGTATTTTGTGAACATGCGGGACCAAATGTGAAATCAGTGTAAACTTGAGTGGTGAAAAATATAATTATCCCAAAGTTGTTATATCATACCTCAAGATATAATATAATAATTTTAACTGAAATGCTAATTGTAGCGGGACTTTTACTGAAATTGACTTATTTGCAGCGATAGTCTCATTTGTCAATTTTCTAACTTTCTAAAAAAATCGAAACTCTCTCAACTAAAAAAAATCGAAAACTTAGAATTTGAAGCTCGTTCGACAAATTCGAAAACGAACAACAACTTCTTCGATGACCGATCCTGTAAACTTTTATGAGATAAAAAGAAAGAAAAAAAATTAAGGGTTAATCGTGCTGTACAACACGAGAAGTATAAAAAAAAAAGTAAAAATTTAAGTTACACGTGCTGTGCAGCACGGGAATCTGATACTAGTTTTCTTTTTTTTTTTCTGTTTTTTTTTTTTTTTGTTTTACTGTATTTTTTAGTATTATTAATATATTAATTATTAATTTTATAATTTGATACGGTGATGATAGGGAATCGGATGAAGAATTTAACAAAGATAATGTTCCTTAAATAATCTAAAAATTCGATATTAAAGGAAAAAAAATAAAAAAATAAAAAAATAATCTTTTGAAGCTCCCGTTCTCTGCAGAATGGGAGTTTAAAAAAAATTTGAACTCCCCATTCTGTAGAGGACGAAACCCAAAAAAAAGAAAAAAAAAATATTTTTTTTGAAGCCACCGTTCTGCAGAGAACGAAAACTTGAAGATCTTCAAGTTTTCGTTCTCTGTAGAACGGGAGCTTCAAAAAAATTTGAATCCCGTTGTAGCAGACTAAATTTCAAAAAAATTCAAAAAAAATAAAATAAAAAATTTGAATGTCCCGTCCTCTAGGGCAC